CTGGCCCACAAATTACTTCTAAAGAGACTCCAGGCAGCTTGTTAGGGGAAAAATATGTTTGAGTAAACACAGATTCATTAAAAGTTTATAAGGCTAAGCCATCTAAATTGCTCAGTGGGTAAAAGCTCTGGCTGCATGTCTGTTGCTGTGATAAAACACTGTGGGAAGACTTTCTCTGTCCTGCCAGTCAGCTCTGTCCCACCAGCCAGCTCCCAAATAACCACACTTAATATTAATTATAATATGTAATTATAAAATATATAATATATACTTATAAAAGCTCTGCTGATAGCTTAGGCTTGTTACTAACTAGCTCTTACAACTTAAATTAACCTGTATTTCTTATCTGTGCTCTGCCATGTGTTTGTAACTTTTTTCAGCATGTCCATCTTGCTTCTCTCCACGCCTCCTGGTGACTCTGCCCCTTCTCCCTGTGCTATTTTTGTGTCCACAAGTCTTGCCTAACCTTTTCCTGCCCAGCTATTGGCCAATCAGCTACTTATTAATCAATGAGAGTAATACATATTCACAGTGTACAAAAAGATTGTTCCACAGCAAAATCCTGGACAAAAGCAATGTGGGGCAGAAAGGGTTTATACAGTTTACAGGTTGTAGTCCATCATCAAGGGGAGCTGAGGTGGGAACTGAAGCTTAACCATGGAGGAGCACTGCTTCCTAGCTTGCTTCCCATAGCTTGCTTTCTTATATAACCCAGGTCTACCTGCCCAGAGATGACACCGCCACAGAGGGCTAGGCTCTCCCACACCAATCATTAGTCAAGAAAATGCCCCACAGACTTGCTTGTGGGCCAATCTAATGGAGGTAATTCCTTAATTGAAGGGCTGTTGACTTATGTGGCTCTAGTTTGTGGCAAGTTGACAAAAACTGACTAGCACAATGCACAAGCCTGTGTTCATGACCTGAGTCCAGTTCCCCGAACCCATGATGGAGGGAGAAAGCCAACTCCTGAGGTTGTTCTCTGATGTTCATATGCACACTCACACACATCTTACACATGTACCACTTTCTATACAAATTAAAATCAAATCAGGAACTGCAGGACCATCTGACGTGAGGGACTGATGAGAGTAGGATGGAGAACTGATGAAGGTCCTGGTGCTCCTGCAGCCCCTAGGCTGATCCTGGTACCACTTCTCCCCCGTGTCTAATTGAATGCTCAGCACGATATACTGCCCCCCAGGTCAGTCAGCAACCCAAACCCAAAGGACTCTAGGACCTACTTGGTTTTGGCTTATCAGCCAACAGGGTCAGAGAAGCTGTTTTAGTTAAAACAGTAGCCAAAACAAGTAAGGCAACATGTTGGGCTTCACAGTTCACATTTTCTCAGAAAATGAGGCATCTTTATGTGAAGACATTTTTGGTAGCCTTTCGACTTGATAAAAATCATTATGGGTGCTGAGTTCAATGTCATGAACGTAGTAATGGCTACTGTTGATGGGGGGGGGATGATACAGAGTGAAGATGTGCTCATGCGGCCTTTTCATTTAAGACAGTGCCAGGGTGTGATGTTACAGCTCTGCCTCAGGCCAGGGTGAAGCTTGCTGCCACTTGACTCTAGTAAGCCAGGAAGCTTTGGTGAATAGCACAGATCACCACGGGACCAGTCAGAGGCTTGTAAACCTCATAACTCTAAACCCTAGGCTCATTAATTGTTAACTTGGGGCAACAGTGTCTTGTTGGTTTGTATTTAAATTCATTGGTTGCCCAACGTACCTGGGCTGCCAGGGGCCTATGGTCTCTTTTTGAAGACGGGAAGTAGATTCTGAATGGTGATCGCACCTGTGTTGTGTGGTGGTGGTGAGGTCCAGGTGACACCATGCAGATGAAACTGGGCACAGATTAGAGATACCCAGAACTCATGGTCACCTGACTGCCTTAGCTGCTGCAGACTGACTTCCACTCAAGTGTGCTGTTAATACATTGTTTCCAGTGACTACAGTAGTGTAGTTGGTTAGTGTTGGCAGGCAGTGAGTTAGCCACTGGAGCTGAGAGCTGCCCCTGAATTGGGCAGTGACCAGCAAGTCACAGGGGTGTGGCAGGCCTTTCTGTACCTGGGTATAGAAAAAAAAAGTGACCTTGAACATGACTAAATGTCGGCCAATAACATGTTCATGAAGGAGTCAGATAGATCCCAAACACCTTTAATCCAAGCACTCAGAAGACAGAGGCAGGTGGATCTCTGTGAGTACCAGGCCAGTCTGACCCTGTCTCAAACCTGTTGCCTACAAAAAACCTCACAGAAAAATCTCTGACCTAACCAAACCCTGGGAGGCCTTCTCTGCAGTCCCTGGCTCATCTAATGGAAAACAGGGAGGAAGGGGTCTCCATGGTATTGCCTGGGGCTCAGGTGGTATTAAGGTAGGGTGCACACCCTGCCTGCTCTGCTCCTCACCTCAGTGTGAATTCTGAGATAGCTGGGTCTGCATCTCAGGCAAGTGTAAGGTGTTCTGGAGCCTTTCTTGGGGATTGGCTCTCCTCAGATGGATGGTCTGCCACATTGGGTCTGTCAGTATCTGCTTCCTCTATCCAAGTGCTCCTTCTTAACACCTAGGCCCTATGGACTTGGGACAGCCTGTTTTAATGGATACAGCCTTGGGCCTGGCTGCTCTTAGTTGATAACTAGGAGCCCAGCTGCCATGCTTAGGCATTCTACCATTGTAATGGGGAAGGAAGCCCTGTGGAGGGCCAGGTAAGTTAAGGCCTTAGATAAGAAGTCCAATGTCAGCACCAGTAGCCTCTGGTAGAATTCAAGGTCCACCCAATCACCAAGGATCTGAGATATAGACCTTTGTCCAAGCCAGTCTTTTTGCAGAGAGAGAGAGAGAGAGAGAGAGAGAGAGAGAGAGAGAGAGAGAATGGCAGCTTGAACTCCTCTTGCCTGCTGTGCTGAACTCCAGTGTTCATGTGATGTGGTGTGGCCTTGCTGCAGAATGGGACCTTGTTCAGCCGGACATGAAGGGGTTCTTGGGGGTTCTCACTGCCTGGGGGCTACCTAGCTCCTTTTGGTTTAAGGAACCCTAGCTAACTGCATGAGCTTTCTCATTCTAGCACCTGCCACATTAGGTGGAGAGAGAATTTTCTCTTTTAAGAAGGTTCTAATTACTGAGCTGAAATATTAACATGTGCTTATCTGCGGTGATTAGGACTAAAGCAGTCTGGTCATGCAGCTTAGTCATCTGCTGAAGTGACTGGGAGAGTGTGAATGCACAGCTTATCGGGACCCCAGGGCAGGGCAGCTAGAGGAGTATTGGCAGCCTCCCTTTTCCCTCCTCCCTTCCTCCTCCCCCTCCCTCTTCCTTCCTTCTTCCTCTTTCTTCTTCTTTCATTCTCATGTCTCCCTCTGCCTTCCCTGCCCCACTTCCTCCTCTCCACCCCTCTCGTTTTTATTCCTTCCTTCTGTTCTTTTTCCTCTCCCTTCCTTTTTCCTCCTCCCCCTCCTCCTTCTCACTTCCCTCCCCCACCCCATCCACCCTGCCTTCCCCCTCTTACTCCTTTGTTCTATTCTGGGCTTCTCTCCTCCACTTCCGCCTTTCTTCCTCTCCTGCCCTTCTGTCTTCACCAGGACCTCTTTCCCCTTCACTGAGCACTGCTCGGAGATAGCTGTGCAGTCAATCACTCTGAGTGATGGAGGTGGCTGAACCTAGAAGTCACGTTTCTCTCTCTGGGTTTGATCCACATGGCTCATCTCGCCCAGCCTCCTGTGAGAAAGGCTGCTTCAGACAGCTGATGAGTGCATCCCACAGTGAGCGGTTCCTTATTGTATCTGATGGTTGTTGAGACACAAACAAATGGCTCCTCCCACTATCACATTTGCTGTGAGGATTTCAAAATCACACTGAGTGTTGTTAGAGTTCATGGAGGAGGCAGATAGTGGCAGAAAGGGAAAGGGCTTGTTGGGCATTGCAGAATTCTACCCTAGAGTCACAGATGGCTTCTGTAACAATATACACCAAATGGTTATTATTCTTTGCTGTGCTGGAAATCGTTTGGCCATTGTGTGTATGAAGCAAGTGCTATAACACTGAGCCACACAAAATAAATAAACTAAAATGTCATTTAAAAAATTCATGAATGGTAGGCCTTTTAGGTCCCCCCCCCCCAAGGGGGAATACAATGTCTTGTAGATGGGCTGTATTCCATTGTTTATGTAGCTGAGCCAGCTATGGACACTAACTAGAGTTGTTTCTTTTTGGTTGTTAAAAGTTATACTGCTTATTATGTACATTGTGTCAGTATCATGAAACTGATTGGTAATGTAGAACAAAGTATATTCTAAATCTTTAGCTTGGTTTCTGCAAAAACAGTTAATATAACTAATTATGTGTCTGGGTTTCAGGGATCCAAATGAGTTGGTATGTATGAGTATGCTGTGTAAAAAGGCATATATACATGTTTAAAGGTAACCTATATGACTATGACTAGGTGACCCTAGGTGACCAAATGACTAATTATGAATATTAACACCAGATAATACATTCTGATTATTTTGTGTTCCATGAATATTTGCAGTAGAAATCTGGCATGTTTTGATTTTTCTGGAAACTGCAAACATTTTATACTCTGTCTGTTTAGCTCAGGCTTACGCTATCTGGGACTGTATGTGGAGTAAGGTTTGAAGCTGTGTCTGAATTCTGTGTGTTCTCTATGAGGAAGGTAGAAGGATCATGGGTGCCTACTTGGAACTGGCTCTCTTTGTCTCATGTCTTTCTCCTTTTATGTAACTCTGTCCTTACAAGTACAACATTCATAAGGAGGGGCCTCCTGCAAACAGGCTGTATAGCTTGTCGGTTTGCTGAATCCATTTCCAGGGTATGTATTAATCACTGACTCCATTCACATGGCTGACCAAGATGGGAGTTCACTCCAAGACCAATCTGTGAGACAGGAGAGCGGTTCCAGATGCTGAGGCATGTATACTGTCATGCTGGAACAGTTGGTCTGCTAGTCTAGGTATATAGACTGAAGTTGGAGCTCTCCAGCAGGCTCACTCAGCCATGGGCTTCCGGTTTTTATTGTATTTTATTTTACTTTTACAGTTTTGGCCTTTGGCTGGCCTCAGTCTTCAGCATCGTGGCCAGGTATCTTTGGGAATCTGGCCTGTGCAGAGTTGGATAGACACTGCTCCTCTAATCTCAGAAGTGTCAACATACCAATGTCCTTCAGGGTCTGATACTGTGGGAAGGGCACCATCATCTCTGCAGTGCTTTTGAGACATCTGCCTTCTAAGGAGCTGCTTTCCCTGGGCTTGGCGTCTTGGGCCATACACAGGTGACCAGTTACATCTAATGGTGTATTCGCTACCTCAGATGCCTGTGTTCTTCTGGGTAGCCCCCACCCTCCACCCCATGCTCCCCCATGGATGAATTCCCAGATCCTTGCAGTTTGAATTACAAAACCGGGTTGTTCAGCAAATGATTAAAAAGTGAAGAGTCTGGTCCTGGCAGCAGTTTTAATTTGCTATAATTCTAGGCAGCTTGCCCAAACACTGTGTTGTCTAGATTTTTGAGTGTATTTAAGTGTTTCTTGAATGGGTCCAAAGGGTGTGGGTGGAACTTATGTATGTCTGCAGCAACTATGAGCCTGGTAACTATACACATGTGTGTAGACACCCTTAGGAAGTGCAGGTGGGGGGCTATACATATGTGAGTGTGTGTGTGTGTGTGTGTGTGTGTGTGTATGTGTGTGTGTGTGTGTGTGTGTGTGGTATGTTTTAACACCTAAGTGCTTGCTATCCCAGGAATGCTCACTGTAATTCTTGCCTGCCCCTCACCCTTTTCTTCTTTTGGGGGAACTGAGGTCCCTGGCTTGTGTCCAACTCCCTCTAGATACCATGGTTCTGACCCTCTCAGTTGCATGTCTCCACAGGGGGATTCTCACCTTGAGTACATGTGTCCAGGGCGTGTTTGTGTAGGCAAGACTCCCAAGCCTGGAGTATCCTGATGTGAAAGGCTCCTAGTGTCATGCCGGTAGCATCAGGCCCTAGATGGCTGATGTCTGGGTCAGAAGGCAGTGTTGATGGTATTGTCCCAGAGCGAGCTTCTGTAGTGTGTGACAGAGTTTCATGCTACTTGGTGCATGTGGTTATTCGTGTTTTTCCTGAAAGTATCCTTCTGTTCCTTTGGACACCTGCAGTAGGCCTCCATTTTCAGTAGTTTGGTGCCCCTGAGCCTGGGAGAGTGGATTGATGTGTGGTGAGAGTTGTCCTTGCAGAGACTTAAGGGCCACTTTTCTTACCTTCTTTCCTGTCTGTTCCCTTGCCTGAAAAAGTGCAGAGGGCTGCAGTGAAGGTGCTACCTCACAAATCAGCCACTCTGTTTCTCCAGTACTGCCCCTGCTGGCACCTGAATGAACCTGTACCGTCCCTCCAGTGTTGTATGATGGGCTGAAAACAGGTCATGGGTCAGAGCAGCTTACAAAACTCCAAACTTTATTGTTCTTTTAGAAGAGGCAATTGTTCCTCTCTGAAAACAAGCTTGCTCTGTCCTTTTAAAACAGAAACAAGGAGACCAGCTGAAGCTCAATGATGGCAGGTGAGGCTTGCTTACTGAGGCATCTTCAGTGCCCATTGTTGCCTCTGGCTGATACCTGACATGTTGGCTGCCTGCAGGCCTGGTAGACCTGATTCTCTGGAGTGTGGGGACAAGGCAAGGACAGGAAGCTCCTGCCAGAGGCAACCCACAGCTTCACAGAAACACAGTGACTTGGGTCTGAAGTTAGAGGAGAGACCCAAGTGGACATTCACCTTCAGTTTCAAGTTCTGGGTATAGTTCTTGGGAGGGAGGGTGTGGTAGATATAGCTCCGTAAGGAGTTTACACTAAAGGGGTTCAGCCTGGGGTCTTAGAATATCACTGTTTGCAAAGTATAGATAGTAATAATTGCTACATCTGACACAGTGACAAGCATGATAGTGTCTAGTCAGGATCCCTCCCCCAATCAATCAGAGCAACAGACACCCAGGGTGGCAACTCAGGACTCCTGTGGCTTTTCTTAGAGCAGACAAACCACACACCTTCCAGCTGGTTCATAGCCACTGGCAGAGATGAAGATTCTGTAGCAAACAGCAGAGTCTTGGGTGGTAGAGGCTGAAAGTCGCTGGCTGTCATGACAGTATAGGTGTGAAAACCTCCTTTGAGGGGCAGTGAGAGGGTAGGCCAGAGGAACAAGTAGGGACTACTCAGAAGGCAGATGTGACAGTATGTGGGCATGCCATGTTGATCTAAGTCTAAGCAATGATGGCTTTCCCAAGACTGTATTTAGAGCCACACTTGACAAAAGGTATCTTACACTCAAGTAAGGTTTGCACTTGGAGATCTTAGTTAGGTTTGTACTTGGAGACCATGTAAGCACCTTGCCTCCCTCCCAGCCTTGTGCAGGAAAGCGGCTGCTGGGAGGGGCTGCTGGCAAAGGCAGCAGGTGTGGGCCTTTGGACTTTAGTGATGGTTCCTTGGATGGTAGGGAGTCCAGAACGTGTAGATTTGAATGATGTTCCTGAGACCTTTGTGTGGCTCTTCTCCCTTTGCTGTTCAGACCTTACCTCTGTGGCTCCCTTATAATTGTGGCAGGAGGTGGTTCATTTCCTGAGAGAATCAGCTGGAGATGAGAACTGAAATGCCTTCCTGCTGAAGGGCTGCTTGCTCTCCCTAGTAAAGTCTGACCCTCAACACATTTCCAGATTTAAAAACACTTTTGTTAGTATATAGTAACTGTACAGAATAGTGTGTGTCCAGCTTTCTCTCCTACACCTCGGGTGTTGAAAGAACAATGCAGTCTTCTTGTTGGCTCTGGGCAGATGTGGGCGGCTGCAGCCATCTGCTTCTCTGAGAGGGTTTCTGCTCTCGGGAAGCTGACTGTGGCAGCCTAGACCTATAATTTCTAGCTAGTTGGGAGGCTGAGGCAGGAAGATCACAAGTTCAAGGCTTATCTGGGCTACAGAGTGAGTTCCAGGTACCTGGATAACTTAGTAAGACCTTGTCTCCAGTCACAGTGAAAACAGGACAGACTGAGGAGGTAGCTCTGTGGAGAGCATGTGTGGCAAGGCCCAAGTTCCAGGTTCAGTCCGAGTACCATAAGCAAAGTTCTCTGGAACCAAGATGAAACAGGCAGAAATGGAAGAGAAGGAAGGGCTGGAGAAAGAGGGTTAAACTCTGGTAGGCCTAGTGTGTGGCTCCAGGAACACAAATGGTGGGCAGGTTTTAGAAAGTGCCTCTTCCAGCACATAGTCACTTGGTTCTGATTTGGACCTTAATTCTGGAACAACCCTGCCAGTTTAGACTCTAAGATCTTGGAGTGTTGTTCTCTCCTCCAGCCCCTCTTTTCTCTCAGCAGTTGCTGCCTCCTAAGTGGAGGTTGATCTTGGTGGTAGCATCTCCAGAGGACGGTAACTTCCCCTTCACTCAGGGTTAGGGTTTTCCATTAGAAAGCCCATATACATAAAGCCTGGTTACTCTATTGAGGTTGTGCCATGCTTGGCAGGTGTGTGCTCCTCCATCTGCTAATCCTGCTAGTCTTTTGGATGCAGATAAAGACTCCAGACCTGCTTGGGCCACAAGGCAAAGGTCACCTGTGACTGTTAACACAGCTGGGGTTTCTCTTCCTCTTCTTTAAACCTCTGTGGAACTACTGTCTAGAACAGTGGTTCTAAACCTTCTTAATGTTTCAACCCTTAATACAATCCCTCATTCTGTGGTGACCCCCCAACCACAAAATTATTTTTGTTGCTACTTCATAACCATAATTTTGCTGTTAGGAATTGCAAATATTTTTGGAGAGAATCGCTGCTCTGGAAAATAAAAGGCTTATGGTGGATTGATGGTGGAGGAAGCTGAAGAACTCCCTTTCTGTTGCTACAGGATAGGTTGTTAGTTCTGACAACCTGGCAGCCTCAGGTGATGGCTGTTATTCCAGCCTGAAAGTCTTGCCTCTTACTCCTGGGATTCTCCTTACCCTGCTCTGTGTGCCTCAGGACAGTGACACCTTGAGACACCCACCTCTTCAGGTACAATGTGTGATGTGTGTGGTGGGTCAGGTGAGGGAGACTGGTGGTCAGGACTGCTTTGTGCAGCCGCCCACTCTGCCACTGGCCTTTCTTAATTGGTTTCTGAAACCCTGACATGTAGACCCAAATGAATGGAGGTCTGCCCACATTTCCTGCAGACCCTGGGCTTCCCCTCAGCTGGTCCCCAGAAGTGTTAGGGCCTGTGTTGTTAGCAGTCTTTGGCCTGTGACCACTGGCCTCATTAGGAAGCCACTCTTGATGGCACTTGGAGCTGGAGACATACCATCCAGGGTTCCTCTGTTTGAAGTGTAGATTTGCAAGTACATACTTGGAAAATGAATGGCAGAGGGGACATCATGCCATGGTGGGTCGAGGGCTACACCATCTGTTGACCCTTCTGCTCAGTGGCCCTTCCTGAGGTGTGTCCTGGAGCTGTTGGGGAGGGCAGCCCTGATGCTTTTGACTATTTAGTGTTTGGCTGTTTTAGTTGGCCTGGCTTTTCCCAAATAGCACTCTGATGCATCAGTCTGGGGGGCATCTGCAGTAGGGGGACCAGCAGTAAGCAGTAACTTCCATGGTCCCTTCTGGAAGTAGAGGTCCCGTGCACTGTATCTAACCCAGTAGTGGGAGAGTCGTCAAGCTAATCCATAGCTGCTCAGCAGGTCTCTGAGATCAGGATCTGAAGTCAGCCTTGTCCCAGGGATAAATGAGGGGAATTCTTATCAGAATGCTACCTCTCATTGACCCTCCCCAGGCAAGAACAGAGCTTGAGTTCTGGGCTGCCCTGGAGCTCCTGCTAGGTCTTTCACAGATTCTCAGAAGTATTCCCCATTCCATGTTTTGGCACCTCTGAAATTGTGATACCTCTTTCAGTGGCTGATGTTAAGAGGTTTGATGTTTTTACACACTGCTCCAGAAGGTAGTGCTAAGCACCTGCCCTGTAGCAATTGTACTGGAGGTTCAGCAAATGCTTCTCCCATCCCTACCCTCTCCTGCATGGTTGTCAGCAACCTGAGAGGGAGAGTGGCAGAGGTGGCAGCCCTGTAGTGATAAGGTTCCTGCCAGTTTCCCCAAGATCTTCA